CTCAGTGGTGATGCTTGAGGTCATGCACTGCTAGGAGATGTTGTAGATCCCAGGCAACCTGAATGAAGAGACCCACTGACCACCTCAGTTACCCCAGAACAGCCACACCTTAGCAGTAAGGACTGCGCCTTTGGTTAAGGGTCACACCGTAGGCTAAGTTCAAAATGGAAATAGAACTTAAGAAAGAATTAGTCCAAGCTCCACAGCATCTAAAGGACCTGCCAGTGATTTACCTGCCTGCCAGGACAATTTAAAGGAAAACAATAGAACCCAGACTCTTCTGCAATGTATAATAACAATGTCTAACATATATTCTTAAATTAGTGGACAGTAAAGAGTCACAAGATATGACCTATGCTTAAGTGAAAAGAGCAATTAGTGGACCCTGAGGTGACTTTGAAGTTGAAATTAGCAGGCAAGCACTTCAAAGTTGCTATTATAAATATGTTCAAAGACCAAAAGGAAAAGGTGGATAAAATGAGCAAATAGATGGAGAATCTCAACAGAGAAATGGAAATTATAAAAAAATTTACCAAATGGAAATTCTGCTATTAGAAATGAAATTTTAAAATTTACTGGATAAGATTAAAAGTGGATCAGAGACTGTATTAAAAAAGGGTTATTAAACTTGGAGACTTAACAATAGAAATTGTCTAATCTGAAAACCAAGGAATAATATTGAAAAAGATAACAACACTTTGGTGACTTGTGGGTAATACCAAGAGGTCTTCATATATGTAATTGGAGTCCCAGAGGGAAAGGAGAAGGAGAGAGGGCAGAAAAATCATTTTTGGAGAAATAATTACCAAAAATTCCCTAAATTTGGTGAAAAGCTTAACTGATATATCCAAGCATCTGAATAAACAGCAGGATAAGTATAAAGAAAACCACACTAAGCCCATCAGAGTCACACTGTTGGAACCCAAAGAAAAAGAGAAAATATTAAAAGTTACCAGAGGAGCCCTGGCTAGTTTGGCTCAGCGGTTAGAGCGTCGGCCTGCAGACCAGAGAGTCCCAGGTTCAGTTCCCACTAAGGACACAAACCTCAGTTGCAGTTTGTCCCCACCCCAGTTGGGGTCATGTGGGTGACAGCCACTTATTGTGTCTCTCTCACATCGATGTTTCTCTCTCTCTTCCCCCCTCTCCCTCCTGCTCTATCTGAAGGTAAATGCAAAAAAATGTCCTCAGGTGAGGATAAAAAATAAATAAATAAATAAATGCATAAGTAAATATAAGTTACCAGAAGAAAAATGATACATTATATACAGAGGATGACAACATGAATGATGTCTGACTTCTCATCAGAAACCATGGATGCCAAAAGACAGTAGAACATTTTTTTTATATTTTCACCTGAGGTTGCTTTTTCATTTACCTTCAGATAGAGGGGGGGGGAGAGAGAGAAACATGAATGTGAGAGAAACACATCGATTGGCTGCCTCCTGCATGACCCTGACCAGAACCAGGTACCGAACTGCAACCGAGGTACATGCTCTTGACCAAAATCGAACCCGCAACTCTTCGGTCCTCAGGCCGATACTGTAACCACTGAGCAAAACTGACCAAGGCTAAAATGGAATTCTTAGAAGAATGTAAGAAAGGCGGAAGAGGGAAACAAAAAAACAAATGAGACAAATAGAATGGTAGACCTATAGCCGGCCATATCAATCAATTAAATGTAAATGGATTCAATGATCCGGTTAGAAGATAGAGATTATCAGACTGTATGAAAATGCAGGACTCTATCATATACTATCTATAAGAGACACTCTTTAAATACAAAGACACAGGCAAGTTGAGGATATAAGGATGTGTAGTAGACAGAGTAATGCTACCACCCCACCCTGATCCCCAGAACCTATGAATATGTTGCCTTACATGGCAAAAGGGACTTTGCAGATGTGATTAAAGTTATGGTCTTTGAGATGGGACAGTCATCGTGTGTTATCCCTTGGGCCCAGTCTAATTACACAGGTCCTTAAAAGTGGAGCATCTAGGCAATCTTTTTTTTTTTTTTAATAATTTTTCTTTTAAAAATACTTTTTTTCTTTATTGATGTGAGAGAGAGGAAGGGAGAGGGAGAGAGATAGAAATACTGATGAGAGAGAACATCGATTGCCTGCCTCTTGCATCGGGCCCACAGCCTGGGCATGTGCCCTGACCGGGAATCGAACTGGCGACCTCTTGGTGCAAGGGACGATGCTCAACCACTGAGCCACACCGGCTGGGTGCCAATCTTTTTTTAAAAAGTGGAGAATCTGAAAAAGGGAAGAAAATGGTAACGCTATGAAATGATTGATATGTTAATTAGCTTGATTGTGGTGATTATTTTCAATGTATACATATATCAAAACATCAAGTCATACACTTTAAATATACAGGGGTTTTTTTTTGACAATTACACCTCAAAAAAGATGAAAAAATTAAAATGTGACCATAAAAAGAGACAAGAGTGGAGAACCTTCTCTGGCCGTGGGCTGAAATAGATGTTAGGACAGAATAGAAGTCATAGTGATGCCACACTGTGGCTTCGAAGATGGAGGAGGGGCCTCGAGCCAGGGGACACAGGGGCCTCTAGAAGCTGGAGACGGCAAGGAAGTGACTCTCTGGATCATCCGGAAGGAAACAGCGCCTCCAGCTCCTGCAGTCTGTTTCAGACTTCTGACCTGCTCTTCTCTGACAACACTGAGATCCTCTGTTTGTGTAACTTATTACAGCAGCGATAGAAAACCAATCAGGATGGGAAAAGATGTGCCAGGCAAATAGCATTAAGAAGCTCAAATGGCTACATTAATGTCAGATAAAGTCAACTTAAAGACAGAGTGCTACCAGTGATAGAGAGAATTTCCTACTGAGGAAGGGGTCAGCACATCAGGAAGATAACGCGTCGTAAAACAACATGGACCTAATGAGCGTCAGAACGCATGACATGAAAATGGACAGAATTAAAGAGACTGAGGCAAATCCACAATCACATTTGGAGATCTTCTTAAACCGTCCTCTCAGTGGTTGTTGGAACAATTATACAAAAACAAACAAATCAACACAACAAACCAGTAGACGCAGCAGGTCTGAATGGCCTTGCTGGACCTAGCCGATGTGTTCTAGAATGCTGCCCCTTATTCCACAGTACACGTTCTTTCCTTGTGCACACAGTATGTTCACCAAGGTAGACCACGTGCTAGGCCATGAAACAAGTCTCCATAAATGGTAAAGGGCTGAAATCATACCAGGGAAAACAATACAAGAAGTTATACTAAGTATATCCTTTGATCACAGTAGAATTAAATTGAAAACAGCCCTGGTCTGTTTTCTCAGTGGTTAGAGCATTGGCACTCCAACTGAAGGATTTGATACCGGTCAAGGACACGTACCTGGGTTGCAGGTTTAATCCCTGGCCTCAGTCAGAGTCATGCAGGAGGGAACCAGTCGATGTGTCTCTCTCATATCCATGTTTTTCTCCCTCCCTCTCTCCCTTTTCTTCCACTTTCTCTTTTAAAAAAAAAAATCAATTGAAAAATATCCTCGGGTGAGGAATAAAAAAAATTAATAAGTGTAACAGATGTAGAAAAACACCAAATATTTAGGTAGGAATTAAAATCTAAAGTTCATGGATAAAAGAAAAAATCACAAGGAAAAATAGAAAATATTTTGAACTGAAAGAAAATGAACGTCAGAGTATGTCAGAGTTCGTGTCCGCACCGAGTACAGTGCTGAAGAGGAGGGGTGTCTGCAGAAGCCTCTCAGGGGACCTTCTCAGCATTCAGAGTGCTCTCAGCTCGCCAGTGAGGGCCGGCCCTTCTTTGTACCGTACTCTGTACAGCTGATCTTTACTCTATCAGTAACAACATTGTGATGCTTCTATTTGCCAACACGTCAGTCTCTTCCTTTCTAAACTGGAGGAGCTGTTCTCGGACAAGTGCTGCGTTCTTTTCAGTGTTCCGTGTCTAGTGCCCAGCACAACGCGTGAGACTGGGCTCTTAGGAAATGTTGAAGGAAAGATTGAGGATGAATGGACCTTACCTTCGTGAGGACCCTGTGAAACCCCATCTCACACTTGAGGAAGCTGAAGCCCCAGGTTCACGCGCTAAACGAGGGACAGCACCAGGTGTCCAGTATTCCCCAAACCTGTTCCTTTCAGGCCCTACGTTGCCGACTGAAATAGCACCATTAGAGAGAAGCATCTTCCCCAAAAAAGTGCAAGATGTTTTAGCAGAGTAAACTATTAAATAAAATATTAAAACATCATCACTTAGGTCCGGCCTGTGTGGCTCAGTGGTTGAACATCGACCCATGCACCAAGAGATCGCCGGTGTGATTCCCGGTCAGGACACTTGCCCATGTTGTGGGCCCGACCCCCAGTGGGGGGCATGCAGGAGGAGGCCAGTCAGTGTTCTCTCTCATCAATGTTTCTATCTCTCCCTCTAAAATAAATAAAGAAAAAAAAATTAAAAATAAACATCACGCCCTGGCCAGTTTGGCTCAGCGGTTAGAGCGTCGGCCTGCGGTCCGGAGAGACCCGGGTTCAGTTCCCGCTAAGGGCACGTACTTCGGTTGCAGTTTGTCCCCGGCCCTGGTTGGTTGTGCAGGTGGCAGCCACTCGATGTGTCCCTTCACGTCGATGTTTCTCTCTCTCTCTCCCTTCCTCTCTCTCATCCCACTCTATCTGTACAAAAAATGGAAAAAAAATAAAAAAAATAAACATCACTTAGTCTTCTTCTCTGAAAGATGAGCAAGGATGCTTCTGAGGTCTTGGCACTTTCATCAGGCCTTTAGGAAGCCGCACGCGCTGCCCTGCCCCCTCCTGCCACAGATGGGAAGCACAGGCCTGGACCTGTCCTGGGCTCTTAGGCTGTGCACTTAATGGGGAGGCAGCACCACAGCCTGGCCCCACCTCACCCCTGCCTCTGCCCTCGCCCTCCCTCTCACAGGAAGTGCTCGGAGGCCTGAGGTTGCAGCCTTGTTGGGGGGATGGGGTTCAGTCCCACAGTGGCTCTTCGCTACCCACACTGGTGGGGCTCTGCCCTGGGAGCCTCTTGTTTCTCCATTTTCTACCTAGCTTTCAGTTTCCAACTGGGGTTTGTTTCCCCTTTGTCTCTGGTTTGGCTTCCGTTTCCTGTTTGGTTTTAAGTAGAGTCTGAAAACCAAGTTGCTGCCTCCTGAGGGTCTGTGGTTCGCTGATCAGCGTAACCTGCTGGGAGTACAGGACTCTTCTCTTCAGGTTCCCTGTGCTGAAGCCTTCCAGTCATGGCCATGGTGTGAGTACTGGGACCAAAACGGGGACAGAGGGAGGTCAACAGGAATCCAAGAATCACAATGGTGTAGAGCTGAAGGGGCTGTAGAAATCATCCCCAATCCCACTGTGCAGTGGGGAGATCATGGACCAGAGCAGAGGGCAAAGGACTTGCCCAAGGTCACACAACAAGATACTGACAGCCTGCTCCGTCTACTGGTCTGTCCCTTTCGCGGCCCATGCCTCTTGATGCCTGTGATCTCGAGTGGCTTCTGATCTAAGGGGTTTCTGATCTAAGGAGGCTGTGGTTTGGCTCAGGTGCTGTGGAAGAGTCCTGGCTGTTCTCTCTGGAACGGCCTGGAAATGTTCGGGTTGTGGTCTCTGAACGCTGAGCAGAGAGGGAAGCACTGAGGTTCCCTTTAAGATGGAAACTCCATGGACTGTGAGAACAGAACCCTGACCTCAGCTTAGAGAACTGGACTGACGGGGCCATCGGTCACTGGGGCTGTTGCTGTCCAGCACGTATGTAAGCAGCAGCGGGTCAGTGTCCTGCACACCTGGCTGTGCGCTGTCTTTCTGAAGGTAAGGCTACACTTGACGTACTGTCCTGGCCTATAGCTCCATGAAAGGTGGTAGGTGATAGCAGTTTTACCTTCTGGGGTTTGGGGCACTTACTTGATTAACTCATTACAGCTCTTTATCTTAGCATAAAATTATAATCCTTCCTCTTACAAAGTACTTCACAGTGTCCAAAGTGGTTTTGAGCCAACTTACTTTCTTTTTTTTTTTTGAGAGAGAGAAACACAGATTTGTTGTTCCACTTATGTATGCATTCATTGATTGATTCTTGTATGTGTCCTGACCGGGAATCAAACCTGCAACCTTGGTTTATCAGGACGACTCTCTAACCAACCAAGCTACCCGGCCAGGGCCATTTTCTAACTGACTCTTTTCACCCTGCTGAGCAGACGAGGAAGGCGGTAGCGCTCTGGTGGGTGGTGAGGGAGCCGGTCTGTGCTCTGCCACGGTCACATGGCGGGTGAGGCAGGGCGGGAGCTGGAACCAGCCAGAACGACCTGGCAGGGTTTTCCCCGGCCGCGCACGGGCTGGCGGGAGGCAGCTCGGTGTTTCCAGGTCTGTTTAATCCTCGAGCTCTGAGGTTTCTGTCCTGCAAGGACCGTGGAGAAGGTCTGCACAGATCGTCTGGGTCAGTGTGCTTTGGGGTCTTACCCGCCACTTCAACCAGATCAGCTCTCTTGTCTTCTTTACGTGTCCCTCAATATTTCTGTGACGGAATAACGTTGCCTTTTCCTTGGTGATGAATTTGAAGTCTGATAGCTACCCGGCTAGTCCAGCTGTGGGGTACACAGATCGGGAGGTCGAGGCCGGAGTCGGGGCAGGACGGGTCCTCAGAGGTCACGTTGTCCAGTTTGTTTCCCAGGGACATGTAGCCAAATCACTGGGAGAGCTTTTTGGGACTCCTCTGTCTTCTGTTCCAGAGAGTCCTGTGTGCCTTCAGGTGAGAAGCGTTAGCACAACGGGGCTCAATTATTCATGCCAGCTTCTGGGTTCCTCGGGTGTCCTGGGCACACGTGGTGGGGAACTGGTCTCATCAGTGGCTTCACGTAGGTAACTGAACCCATGAAAGAGAACAATAACAGCAGCTACCCTCATTGAGCGTTACATGCCAGGCATTATGCTGCTTATATTGCATGCGTTGTATTTAACCCTCATCTCTGATGTTGTGTTGTTCTCATTTTATAGACAAGAAAACCATGGTCAACAAAGGTAGGTTCCTCGTCCCAGGTCCCAATGGTGTCACTGACAGTTGGGATTTGAAGCCGGGTGTCTGTGTTTTCAGAAGCTAGGCTTAGCTCCGGCTCTCAAGGTTAAGTCGAGGTTAAAATCAAAGCTTCCCAATCTCTGTTACCTTTTGCAGTGTCTGATTTCACACTGTTGATGAGACTTTCTCTGTCCCCCGTGGCACCCATGCGTCTCAGTGTCCATCATCTGTTCATTCGCCGCCTCCCCTCCCTGCCTAGATTCTTGGGGCAGGACGCAGTGTTACTCATTGCTGCCTGCCGTGTGCCTAGTAAATGCTGTGCCCTCACTCAGGTGTTCGCTGAACTGAGCCGAGTCGCCATGCTGACAAACAGGCGTGTTAGCCGGGGCTCAGCCAGGTCTCATTCGCAAGCTGTCGATCCACCCTCAGAGGGGAGCATACTGCCCCGTCCTCGGCCCGGCCAGCTCTTCACAGCTGTCCCGAGGCTGTGGAAACCCATTCCACTTCCACAAGTGGTCAAAGTCACAGACTCAGGACACAGGCATACACTGGAATTCGTACCATTGGCCCTGATGCCCACATGGCCTGTCAGATGGCTCGCCAGCAGAAGGGCTGTGTTCGGGCCTTGAAAGAAAGTGTGGGAAGTGCAGTGAGTCGGGTTCAGCCAAAGAATGCCAGTGTGTTCCCAGGCCCGCGGGCTCCCAGAGGAGTGGAGAGCAGCTGTCAGGCCCCTGGGCGGCGGCGTGAGGGTGCACGCAGGAGACAGACACTGCACACGGGGCGCAGCAGTCTGACCCTCCCACCGTTCGGACGGAAGGGAAGGTGTGTGGCCGTGACACCGAATCTGCTCTTCCCTTACCAGAGCCTTTCTGTAATCCTGATGCTCACAGGGGGCTCAGCCGTCGCCGTTCGAGCTGCTGCACGTCCATCCAGCAGGTCTAACCTCTGTTTGCACTGCTGTGGCGCCGCAGGTAGCACGTGGCCGGGAGGCCTGCCCTCTCGGGGGTCTGTGACTCAGACTGTATCTGTAACAACTGAGACATCATTTGCCTATTTCACTCTTGTCTCATGAGTACACAGTGGAATTTTCCAGGGGCTACATGACACGCCTTGACATTGTCACTGTGGCAAGTCATGAAATGTGTACTTGTTTTGTTTTTTGTTTTTTTAATCCTCACCCGAGGACATTTTTTCATTTTTTGTTCAGATAGAGTTGGAGGGAGAGAGAGGAAGAGAGAGAGAGAGAAATATTAACGTGAAAGGGACACATCGAGTGGCTGCCACCCGCACGACCAACCAGGGCCGGGGACAAACCGCAACCGAGGTACGTACATGCCCTTAGCGGGAACCGAACCCAGTCTCTCTAGACTGCAGGCTGACACTCTAACCGCTGAGCCAAAATGGCCAGGGCTGTACTTGTGTTTTAAAAATCCTCTGCTTTCGTTTCAAACATGGAAAATGTAGACAGGTGTAACTACCCAAATAGAAGCTGTTGTGACGTCCTCGGTAATCTTCGTGGTACAAAGCAGTCTGAGACACGCAGTTTTGAGAACCACTCTGGGAGTGTACAGTGATGTGACTGTACTGGGAGAAGCCCGTCCGGGCGCTGCTCCCCCTGGGAGGGAGGAGGGGCGCTGGGACCCAGAGAGGATGCGGGGTTCCTCGTGAACCAAGCCACATTATGAGGCCGTGCATGCCCTACTGAGGGGTGGCATCGGGAACCTGTCACAGGCATGAACTATTTCAGAATTACACCTTCAGGCTAGAACACGACATTAACCCTCTCTCAAGCCTGTCCCGTTAAGAAAAAGCAGTCACCCCGTGGATGATTCACTTGCCGAGAGGACATGCCCCTTTCCGTGGCAGAGGCCCGCGGTCTCTCCCTTAACCCGCCCGGCCTCTCCAGGAGAAGGCCACTGGTGAGCCGCTGCCTGACGGGAGGTGACACGATAAGTCCCCACTGTCTCCTGTGTCTCGTCCTTGCCGTGTACTCTGAATTTAATCCGGGGAAACAGTCCAGAATGGGGGCAGCCTACGAGACATTTGCCTAAACTGCTCACACACACAAATCAGTGCCAATAACAAACAAAAAAATGGCCTAACATTCCAGCATTAGAAAGAAGCAAGCTGTCCTGGCCGGTTTGGCTCAGCAGTTGCAGCGTCAGCCCGCGGACCAGAGTCGTGGGTTTGATTCTGGTCAAGGGCATGTTCCTCGGTTGCAGTTCAGTCCCCAGGGTCATGCGGGAGGCAGCCAATCGATGTGTCTCTCACATCAATGTTTCCCTCTCTCTCTCTCCCCCCTCTCTTTCTCTCACTCTGTCTGAACACCTTAGCATCAAAGTCTGATATCTGCAACTTACTTTCAAATAGTTCAGAACAAAACGACATCAAAAGCGATGTCACTATGGTCAAGCAGGAAAGCCCTGTTGTCCAGCAGAAAGCAGGACCTGTCATCTAGTCCCGGCCCTCCCACATCAGCCACAGGATGCTGGGAAGCTCTTCCCTCTCCAGGCGGCTTCCTCCATCCAGGAAGTTCCTTGTGACTATTCCTCAGCTCTGGCAAGGCTGTGCTTCCCAGTCCCTGTCGCTCAGTCGCTGACTCGGGACCTGGGAGGACATCCACGGAGTAGTCTTTTCACTCCGCTTGAACGAGCCAGGAGGAGCGATGGGAGGCCAGGGCCATGGCTGAGGGCGCCGCCCTCTCCTCTCCCAGCCTCTGCTGCCGCTGTTCTGTCCGCCGGAAATGGTCCACCCCCTCCCGGCAGGATGAAACGTGCCCTCCTTGTACCCATGGCGCCTGGCACACACCTGGGCGCTGTGGACTGCGTGTGTGCACGTGGGCCCTCCCCTTGACGGAAACCATGTCTTGTATTCACGAGAAGGCCGAGTTTTGTCTGAGTGCTGGGCATGGGTATATATTTGGTACGTGGCCGGTAGTTAGTAAACGGGCTGTGGTCTTGGTTTATCTGTAAACGAATGCAGGAAAAGGGAGAGAGAGACCTGGGGTGGCCAGGTTGCAGGTGAGTCGTGGTCCGGTGGACCCTCCCGCCCCCAAGGAGTCCTTGAAGGCCGAGAAATATGACACCTGGCAGATCTAGGCGAGCTCAGAGGCAGGCGTTTGTTACAGATGGTGGTGGGGAGAGCGCTAGTCCCCGTTACTAGGGCTGCAGAGGGAACAAGCCCCGAAGCCTGCCTCATGGAGAGAGCAGCTGCCGTTGGTGGAAAGCACAGCGATGGTGGAGAGAAGTCAACAGCGTCTTTGCAGTGGGGGTGAGACTCTCCCAGGAGGCGGCAGACACAGGAGGAGAGGTTCGAGGAGAATCCATGCACAGCGCAGGGCTGGGAGACCAGGCCGGGGAGATGCCCCTGCACTGGGCACCCACAGACAGGACCCAGCGCCCCGCACGCAGCCCCGCGTGTGGATGGGCTCCACCTGAATTCCCCACGTGCAGACGTGCTGGGACGGGCCCACCCTCGGCGCGTTCCGACGGCAGCCTCCCCGGCGTGGTTAGTCAGCCGCACTGTCTCCTCGGCCTTCTGTGAGCAGAGCGTACGCCGGTCAAGAAAGATCGTTACTTCATGTTACACAGCCGTGCTCTGCCTCCCCTGTGATCCCGAGGCTAGCAAGTGACAGGCCAGGCCTGGACACAGCTCGGACCCTGACCTAGGGCTCCCTTGCCTTCCCACAGTCCCCGCGACTGAAGGCGGACCTCACGGGACCCCTGGTCCCTGCCCGCCTCGGGTAAGGTCAGGAAGGGGCAGTTTAGAGAAGGGCCAAGCTGGGGCTGCCAAAAGCCAA